AGGCTACAAACTGCCTATCTAAAAAAAAAAATCAAAAGTCCCCAACACTCTAACTGCTCTCATGGTCATCATCCTCCTCTTCCTCATCATCCTCAGCATCATTAAAGCCTCAATCACTATCATTAGGCGCCTCATATGGCACGAAGCCTGAAAGATCAATATCAGGGAAAACAACATAAATCTTTTCTCGAAACTCCTTATAACCATCAATAAAGGCATTCGCAAGGCCAATCTCCAAATTACTCTCAGCCTTGACGGCTCTTTCACAAGCCAATAACAGATCCGCCTCTGCCCGAGAATTTCTCTCGTGAGCTGCCTTCACCTCTGCCTCCGCTCTCAAGTAAGAAGTCTCTCTGAGTGCAGCCCTCTCGCGGGTCTCCACAAGCTAAGCCTCTCTGAGCGCGTCCTTTTCACGGGTCACCAAAAGCTCAGTCTCAAGGCTAGTCGCCCTCTCGCGGGTCGCCGAAAGCTCCACTTTAGCCCTCGTGCAAGCAGCCTTCTCATGGGTCATCACAAGCTCAGCCTGGGAAGCCCTATCAGTAGCCTCAAGCTCAACAATCCTCCCCAAAGTAGCAAGAAGCTCCTTTTGCACAGCTTCATGACCATGCTTCAGCTGGCAGTAACAATGGGCCCTTGAAAACAAGCATACAGATGCAGTTGAAACCTGAAAAAGACAAAAGGCAAAGGAATGTCAAACGCATTAGGAGGGACTGGAGAAAGAGAGACAACAAACCCTTACGTGAGCCAGACCTTCCAAAAAGGTGTTGATAATTTCCTGAGTGCCCAGAGCACTAATCTCATTAACGTCAGGAGGAAATACAAATCTCCCAAGTCGATCCCTGATGACTTGCGCATTACCCAACATGGAGCCAATTTGAGTAGGTGCCCCTATAGAATTTACCACAGGAGGAGTTGATGAATGAGGGGCAGGAGGAGTGGTCGACAAGGGAGTCTCTGGAGTAGCAATCATATCTGAAGGAGTCGCCGACCAAGGAGGCACCACTGGAGGGGTCACTTGAGAGGAGCTCGTCAAAGCATCGCTCATCCTCGCCACCTTAGGAAGAGGAGTGCTCCTACTAGAGTAACGGGACCCAACCACCATTCTATCCATTGCAAAGGAAATAAAGTGTTATCTAGATAAGAAACCAAGTAAAGGACGAAAGTACAAGAGAATCAACTTACATTTTCTCTTCAAGAAGGAGCCATCAGATCTCGAGGGTGCACCAACCCTAGCACCGACTGTAGGAGAACCATTGACTTTACTATCTTTGAGCATGAGAGCTCCAAAGTCCTTTACAGGATAAGCCCTCACAACCTGCAACATTCACTCTTGGTCCTTTGAGAGCACATAAGAACCTGCAAGGAATGTGATGAGTACATAACCTATAAGGAATGCGATGAGAAAAACGTAAGTATATAAGGCATATCAACTTTCTTAGGAGCACCCCATCCCATTGGTACCAAAGCCCTATCAGCATCTGAAACCTACTCTCTGCCAACAAATATGAAACGAGACTTCTAGTTGTGATAGTTGGAGGGCAATTTAGTAATCAACTTCCTTCTTCTCATAGTAAAATAGTACTAGCCTCAATTATGAGTAGAAGTCTCACTCAAATTATAAGTTGCATAACGCTCGTTAGGAGAGGCATCCTTATGATGTACCTTCCTCCACAATGCCAGAAAACCCTACAAAACTCTCCAATCGTTGGACCCCAACCGCCCTGGTGCCAATGAAAAGTAATGCAGAATACGAAAAATAGAAGAAGACATCAGGAACCTAAGCCCAACCATACGCATCTCTTTATAAATAACAATGTCTCTAGAGGAGTCATCACAAGCAGGCTCACCCATCTCAACTCGACGACACAATTTCGTTGGAGGAATGTTATAAGCAAAAACAACCCGCATAATCTCACCATCAGTATTGAGCATGCTAGAAATTGAACTTACTTTGGATCCATTGTCGTCAAGAGCTACCTTTCCTCGTTGCTTTTTGTTGCGAGGGCGTGAAGGGTTGTCAGAGGCACTATCAGGGAGGCCTGGAGAAATCTGATTTGGAGAAGTTGCATTTGAAGGAGCCGGATCATCACCACCAAAAGTGTCTGGCGTACACAGTCTCCTGACTCTAGAACTAGGCTCGCCCAGCCCATGGGCACGAATTGGCTCACTTGGATGGACTCCCCCATTGGACCCGACTGCCTGCTCGCCCAAGGCGTTACTCGCCCAAGGCACTGTAACCTGCTTGCGCAAGGGGTTGCAGCTTGCTCGCCCAAGGCATTGTAGCCTTCTCACCCAGGCCAGTTGTTCTCTCCTCCACTCGCGCGCCTAGCCCGCCCAAGGCCTCCAAACCAACGTCGGCATCCCTGGTCTGTTCGCCCAGGCCGCCTGCCTCCCTTGCATGACCAGCCTGCTTGCACAAGGCCTCCCTTGCTTTGCCTGTACGAACAGCGGGTGCCCATGACGCCTCTACTCCAACGCCCAACAACTCCCTCTCCTCTTCGGGCACAAGTTGATTTCTTTGAGTTCTCTACCAAGATTCACAAACTCATTTCTAGTCGACATTGATCGAAGTTCTCAAACTCGAAAGTCTCACCTATGTGTTCTTAAAAGATTTCAAGAAAATATCTACCTCCCTCTCTCAAAATTATATGAAATGGGTAGAATGAAGAAGGAGTTTTCTATTTATAGCCTAGGGTTTTTTAAATCCTATTAAAGAAAGGAAAAAGCAAAATGCCCCAATTTATAACCTAGGACTCTTCAAGAATTCAAAAGGGGAAGTAAAAGAAAGAGTTTATATAGCTAATGGTGTTCCACAAGCAAAAGGAGTTTACAAGAAGGAAGAGAGTCGCCAATCAAAAGGAGTCTCCAAAAAATTCAAGTTCAAAAAAGATTGATCACTATTTTGACTGTAACTTTTCCTTTGTTATTCCAAATGGGGCCCATAATATATCAAATCGAAGCTTTCGACGAGCCCTACAAGACTCATGGCCTTTGGCCATGACAGACGCTGTTAAAAGCCCTAGAAACATATGTTTTGGCCTCCCAAAATTTTTCCAATTGTGCGTTCAGTCGAAATTCAAACTCAACCGAATGCCCTCCTCTCCAAGTTTCATTGGACATAGGGCATTAGGGGGCAAATGATGGGCCAAGCCCAAAGGCTCAATTCATGTTGTAAGTCCAGTTTAAATTAAGAGCCTGACTTATGAGAGATCCAGTGAGTCTAGCCCAAAGTGGTCCACGCCTAGTCAAGCTCATCAGGGTTTGAGTAGTTTCATTAGCAAGGGATCATGTAGGGTTATCCCAAAGCCTCATCCTCGCCGCCTTGGAAAGAATTAACCCCCACCTCATCGTTTGACCGAATCTTATGGAGAGCACCATAACTACCTCATCCGTTGAGAAGATGTCGCCAGCACCACTAGATTAGTTATTTAGTTATTATTAAGTCGCCCCAATCTATTAAGAGACGACTATAAATTACAAGTCTCGCCAACACTTTGGGGGCGGAACACATTAAGTCGAGCACATATCTCCTATCTTTCTCAGCTTGCAACTCTCTGCTCTCCCTACACACTTGAAGTAATAAAATACCCCAGCGATCCTAGCATTTAAAATGGATGTAGGTCACGTTGACCGGACTATTATAAATCTTTGTTTTGCTTGTGTCTCTCTACTTTACTACTGCATTAATTATCAATCACTTGACAGGTGGTGTGTAAACCCAATTTGTTCATCATCATACATATTTGGGTCGTTCACTTCTCTGTAGAATGACTTCTGAATGATTTTCCTAGATTTGAGTAGTGAAAACCAAGTTAAGATGTATGATTCATGGTTCATGCAGTGTGTCTTTTCTCTTTCAGTTTTAGCTTATCATAATCTTGTTAACTGGCCATGTCTCTAAGTCGATTTGACCCATGCTTGAAATTTTTAGAGCTGTTCGTGTTGTTGCCTCAGTTTTCTTGCTATAAAACTGCATGTTCGTGTCTCGTTATAAAGAACATTTTCGAAGTCTTAGAGAGGAAGATGTATCTTGGGTTGACATATAGTGTGATTTGTCAGGAATATTGGGTCATATGAGATTTCTCCGTTATCTCCTCCGATCGAGATATTCTCGATTTTACCCAAGAAAGATAATTTCATTTGCATTTTTTGACGCATGCTCTTTGTAGAGCAAAATTTAGTTTGCAAGAATTTTTGGGTTCAAGTCCGAAACCAGAAGTGGTAATTGGTGTAATACCGTTGCAGACGGGCTCGCCACTTGAGAAGTAGTGCAAGAAACGCTCTCTTGCCCTCGTGTGGTAAACGGTTGAGCAGAGTCAGCTGTCTCATTTTTAGGATGAGATTGGGCAAAAGTTCTCCCAAGTCTCAATTCGAGATTAACAGTTGAGGTTTATATCTCATGCATATACAAACTTCAAAGAGTTTATATATAATATTTTAAATATAAAAAAATTTAAATAATTAAGTGAAAAATTTCAAAAGATTTGATTACAATTTTCTCAAATAGCAAAGTGCAATCCATCCATTTCAAAAATTATCTTGACCCTACCTATTTGCATGGAAGAATCAAACACGTTAATCCAAACCTCTTTACTGCCGTCGTCGATCTCTCTCTCTCTCTCTCTCTCTCTCTCACACACACACACACACACGCACACGCACACGCACACGCACACGCACACGCGCGCACACACACACACACACTCCACAAGAAATAGGGTCTTGCAGCTTCACTATTCAGTTGTCTCCCTGCACGGGAATATTGAATATATTCGTTGTAGCAGTTTGATGATCAAGTTGGCTTCCTCGAATGTGGAATATATTCGCTCCACAACCTGTAGAACCAATGCCATGGGAAGATATTCCTTTTTGCCATTCTTTTTTCTCTCAGTCATTTTCACAAACACATCTACATGTATTCGAACTCTTCCCATACAATTCATTCATTACAAGATAAGTTGAAGCAAAAGAAAAGAAAATTTTAAGGCCTCCTTGACGCCATGGATCATGCAGCCGAAGCTCACAGGACGGACCTTATGACAGTAACTCGTCATGTTCTTAATGAGCAGTCTAAGCACCCGGAGGCGCATGGTGATTTTACCATCTTGCTCTATCACATTGTTCTTGGCTGCAAATTTGTTTGCAATGCCGTTCACAAGGTCTTCTTTCTTGATCCCTTCTTTGATTTTGTCATTGATGAATTTTCCTTACGTGTCTTGTTTGTTAGTCATTGTTTTTCCCTGTGTTGGTATGCTTCAATTAGTCCAGGTTAGTGTTTAGTTTATTATCTAGTGATATCCTCTAGGTCTTGATGTTTTTTATTTTTGTGGGTGGATAGAAATTAAAGAACATGAAGAAAGAAAGGTTTCCTTTTACAAAATAACTCTACAATCACAAGGTCAAAATTATTGGTAATATGTATATAAACGGGTTTTCGTAATAAATTCGATAGGCGCAATCTAAGAGGATTAGTTACTTCAAGATTTTGAATATAAGCAAAGCCAAAAAACCTGCTCAATGAGGTCTAAAGGGTTAAAAGTTTTGGCACATAGACATCTTGTCTTGTCAAAGCATGTTGTTATAGCTACCTTAATTTTGCTATCAAGTTAGAGTTCAATTTTGAGAATACTTAACCTCTAAAAAGCAGAAGTTACGAGGTAGAAATTGGTTTATTCCTTGCTTTTACTTCTTTTTTTCCCTGGTCAGAATCCTTTTTTTGTCTTCCTTCTGTAAATTCTGCTGTTTCATCAGTTGTTTTTCAACATACATAATTTATTACTACAGGCGGGCCTTGCGAAACTCATTGGACTTGCTGGAGAGACAAATGTTCAGGTTTTGTTCTATCCATTTGTTTCAAAATTGTCTTGTTATACTGAATTTTATGTTTTTAGCTTTGCTTATATGTCTGCTTACAGCCATTCATATATGGATTTACATATTTGTTAAGGTGATTTGGCTGTTTTTGATTTCAGGGTGAGGAACAAAAGAAATTGGATGTGCTTTCAAATGAAGTTTTTGTCAATGCTCTGATAAGCAGTGGGCGTTCAGTAAGTTTTTTAGTATCTTTTGGTCTTTATATAAAACAAATTAGGTAGGATATATTCAACATTATAGACCTCAAACAGTAGCAGCAATATTGCAATTTTCTCCAGAGACGGTTTCGTTTTATGCATCGTACTTTGCAATAAGGCATTTATGTGTTGGGGCTTTGTTACAAAATTGATTAACAAAGGACTGATGTCCTTTTCGACAGGAATAACTCGTGCGCCATGATTGCAAATTTTTATTGTAGAATCACTAAGATTTTTGTCCATGTGGAATTACCAGATCTATGTAGTGATTTTCCTTAGAAAAGGGCCAGCAAACCAAGCACTGAAAATACCTTTGAATTTATATGCCTTTTGTCTTTTTAACATAATTTTGTTCCCCTTTCAGTGCATTCTTGTTTCCGAAGAGGATCAAGAAGCTACATTCGTGGACCCATCAAAGCGTGGAAGGTTCATGCTATGTTCTCTCCTCTTCATAACAATCCTTATGATATGTTTTTATTTTTCTCAAGATTCTTTATAGCTTGTACTTCCAATTCTATCTATGTTGCAGATATTGTGTTGTTTTTGATCCGTTGGATGGATCCTCAAATGTTGACTGTTGCGTTTCCATAGGAACTGTATGGTCCTTTATCTCATATTTCGTTACCGCATTGATATTGTTTCAAACTTTAGTAACACTAATATGGTTGATATTGACAATATTCGAAGATGACTTGGCACAACTAATGATGATTATCTTCTTTCAAGTATAGATATTTGGGATCTATATGGTGAAAGATAAGGATAAACCAACTCTGAATGATGTAATGCAACCTGGGACAAATTTGTTAGCAGCAGGCTACTGCCTGTATGGAAGCTCTTGCATGGTAGATATCCTCACCCTGTTCTGAATAGTTTGTTGGTGTTGAATAATATCACCATCTTTTTTGTACAGAACAACTAGGATTTTCCATTTTATCTTCCTGAAAATGATGAGTTTGACAGCTCATCTTATTACTTAGATTAATTTCTTGGTAATAAGAGAAAAAAAACTTAAATTGACTTTCGTTTTGTTGATGGGATTAACAATTCTTGAGATTATAACTGGCAAACGTCTAACAGTGGCATATTTCTTTGGAACTGGAGTGATGTTTGCAGTTGGTGCTTAGCACAGGAAATGGCGTTAATGGTTTCACTCTTGATCCATCTCTTGGGGAGTTCATATTAACTCACCCGGATTTGAAGGTATACAACGTCACTGCTAGGTTGGCCTTAAAACATGGAATTGCATATTTTCAAATTTTCTATCATTATGTTGTCTATATTTGTGCTATGTTTCCTTTCAGTCCTTGCAAAAAGGAAAGCTGGTTTAAGATAATGCAAATACCATTTTACTCCCATGTAAATTTCATTCCCCCTATTATCAGATACCCCATGGAGTGTGGATGAGAAGCTATTTGTGTTCCCTGTTCCCATAACATTGGTCCCTTTCTGTGCTCTTTTGATGCATGAAGCCTTATTAACCTTCCAAGTTGCTCATGTCATATATGGTTTGTTTTGTCTTTGAACATATCTGCTCCTACTATAAACTATTTTCTTGGCTCATTCAACAGATTCCAAAGAAAGGAAAGATCTATTCAATAAATGAAGGAAATACCAAACATTGGGATGAGCCGACTACAAAGTACTTGCATCTTAATTTGGTGATTATCATCTTGCTAAAAGCCCTGGAAACCTACTGAGCCCTTGTATTCTCTTCCGGTATGTTGAAAAATGCAAGTTCCCCAGAGATGATTCATCCCCAAAGTCCCTAAGGTACATTGGAAGGTATATGAGTTCCCAGCATTGCAGTTTTGTTTCCAAATTTCTGTTTGTAAAAATTTGTAAACTCACTGATGGTGACTTATTAGTCAAGATAGTGCAATAGACCAAATGTTCTGGATGTATCTTTAGGCAACAATAATGTCTGGTGAATGAGCAAAACAAAATAACGTCTGGTGGCTCTTAGACATATTTAATTGCATACTTGGGTGCTACCAGTTAATTTTTTTTATAATTCTTCTCTATTCTTGCTGTCACATTACTATCGACATATCATTTTGTGACATTAGGGATGAAATGTAACTACTTTCATACAAATATTAAACAAAGTTGTAGCTAGAACAACTGCATTTTATATCTTGACTTGAAATGCATTGCATATTTATAATTTCTTTCTGATGCTACAATGAGTTTTATGTACACCAATGAAAAGAAGACAAAAAAAATTAAAGAGCAGAATGGTGATGTTGACAACTAAATGAACAACCTCCAGAGGGATTTTTGCTAAATCTCTGTATAAGACTCTATATTGAACACCTAGGTATATGAATTTCGTTTAATTATTTTCTTCTTCTTCACCTTCCGGTTTTGGCCTTTTGTGTCGTCTTCTTCCTCCTTTTCTTCCCATTTTTCGAGATTATACCTATTTTTCAACAGTTGTTGATAAACTAATTTTGGTCCTGTTATATGCAGCATGGTGGCAGATGTACACCGCACATTGCTTTACGGTGGTGTATTTATGTATCCTGCTGATAAGAAAAGCCCAAATGGAAAGTTGTGGTATGTCACATTTGAAAGTTGCATGTTTTCCATCAGAAAATCACACCAGGACGAGAGTATATACTATATAACCTAAGGGCATAGTGTTGTGGCTTACTAAAGTTAACTTCTTTAACAGTGTCCTTTATGAGGTCTTTCCAATGTCATTCCTGATGGAGCAATCAGGAGGCCAAGCTTTCACAGGGAAGCAACGAGTAGTTACCACCGCCCCTTCTTAATTTTTTGGCTTGATATGTTGTCCGTTTCATTGATATTTAACAAATGATTCGTTGGATTCTAGAATCCCTTAGATTCATATATTGGTATTTGTTTAAGCTGATGTTTAATCTAGTTTACTGTACACAGTGACTAAGTAGTTAAAATGGCAGGCACTTGAACTGGTTCCGAAGAAGATACATGAGCGGTCTTCCATATTTCTTGGAAGCTATGATGACATTGAGGAAATTAAATCTCTTTATGCTGCTGCTCAAGAGCAAGATGCATAAGATGTTAATTAGCCTTCTCAAACTCATCCACTACACCCTAAAATTGTTCTTGAGGTATTAGCCTCAGTTTCTGATCATTTACACATTTATTCTAAGAATTTATCTGTCAGAAACGTTACATTTACATTTCAATGACAAAAAGATTTGATCTTCTTAGTCATAATGTTGTTCCTACGTATCACCAATGGAAATGTTATGCAAGTACTTCTGAATCAAGCTAGGGATCTAAATACGCATTATATGAATACACATAATTTTGCGTTTGGTCTTACGGATTTTATTTCTTTTACTGACATGCTGGGATTTCTCAGCTTCAGCGATATTATCGCATGGTATGCTGAATAAAATGGGATGTGTTGACTGATGAATGAAATCAAATGATGGTTTTGTTTCAATGAAAACTGTTTCAGTCATCTGTGTTGTTGGCTGCCATATCAATGGTACTTTCCATTTAGGATGATTATCTCTGGATGCTTTATGAAACACAATGGGTCATTTGTTGGGTGCAACTGAGCATCCCACAATGATATGGATTGTGATTAACATGTTCAAAGTACGAGGATGAAGTGAACTGTAAACAAAATAGGCAATACGGGGTGGTATTTACATTGTTTTACCCCTTTCATTGGCAAGTTGAAAATGTTATGGAGTGAAAACATTATACTTGGAAACAAAGTTTCCTCTTATAAAGGCAGATACCTAGTAGTAACCGACTGTTGTCGCCATAGGGCTTGTAACAGATGTACACAGTCTTATTGCTTTTATTACTGATGTGAAAAACAAAGAGATGTTTTACTGCAATTTTGCTTTACACTAGCAATAAATTGTCAACATGGAGTGACACCACTATACTTAGAAAGAAAAATTGCTCTTAAAAAAAATAGGTGCCTAGTGTATGATACTTTGGTAACTACGTGTTTTATGGAGGATCAGATTTACATAATCTTATCTTCTTCATTACCACTTTGAAAAATAAATAGATGTTTTAGTCCACAATTGTCTTGCAAATTTTGCCCTTTGAAAATAAGTTCATAAATATATGCTAAGCCATTTTAAGGAGAAAATTTTTAGTCCTTAGTAGGCATCAGTTGCATACAATGGGAAATTGCCATAACAGTTGCTTGTCAGAGACACACCTGTTGATTTTTTCAAATTTTTTTTGGACAACATCTTGAGTAATAGCAATAAAGCAATGTACACTACATGGCAATGCATTGCCTGCCAAGAACAAATATTTTCTCCATTTTAAAATAGTAGGTATGAACTTAAGCACACGACAGTGTCAATTAACGCATATCTCTACATTAATTTGAGTTTTGAGTGCTCTGAGATTATAACAAAATGAGTTTAGAGCTTATAACAAACTGAGTTCTTCTAAGCAGTTGTCAAGCACGATTTGGGATCGAGCCTCAAATTTTTTTTTCTTTTCCTTAGAATTGGACTAGATCATTGTATATGCAAAAATTGAAGGGAAAGAAAAAATGCAATGGTTCCCTAAAAAATATCTTCAAACGAAAAAATTAAGAAAACTCCTTATGATTTCATTTAGACACGATTTGGTAATGGTATAAAAGTAATTCTTTATTTTTTAAGCAAAAATGAATAGTGACATCATTGTGATTACAATTTAAAAGAGAAGTCATTCTAGAATCTAGAGTGAGCAAGATATTTTGGATAGAAATAGTAATTGTACCTTTCATTATTGAAAACAGGTTCAATTAAGATAATATGAATGAAGTAATCTCCAAGAAGAAAAACAAATAAAAAAAAAAACAATATTTTTAAAAAGATATTTAAAGAAATGTAAAAAATACAATCTGGTAGAGATTAGTGGGGATAGCTGATAAACTCATTGGGGACCAATCCTGATCAGCAAGTGAGGATCGATTCTTTTTCGCCAATAATGTTGCAAGATTGATATTTGAAGGCTCATGGCCAACATATAGACTAAAGTTGCTAATCACTCCCTCTCTTTTTTGAAGGCCCTTTCTATTTTCTTTCTAGTAGAGTTCCTCAATAACAACACTGAACGCCCAGCTTCAAAGAACATCTCTCTCCCCATCCCATAATTGATTAGATTAGAATTTATATATGACCAAGTTCATGTGATGTTATGGTGTTAACTAATCCCCAATAGAAACCTAGAGAAAGCTGTTTTGGTTTTGGCATACACAATCAACCCGGGCCGACTGAGTCATTTTCTAGACACAAAACAACTGGGGCTTGCCAAGTCTCTCAGTAGGAATCACCACACCTGCTTCACTTTACTTTTCAATTCCCCTGTAAATTTTAAGAAATAACCAATGTTTTCTTTGAAAGATTCAGTTTGGATTCAATATGTAAATGAGTTTGTGTTCTGATTCATTGAGGTAAATTTTTGGTTTTCTAATGGGTTTTCTTGATTGTTGTGTCTGCTTTTAGGTAAATTTCTGGTTTTCTAATTGGGTTTTCTTGATTGTTGGGCGATCCCTGTACTTCTCCTTAGTTTCTAAACTAGCAGAATTGTGGGACCTCAAAAGTGGGAAGTTCATTGTTGGTTTTTATTCCTCACTCTCGTATAGGTGAACTTGGTTCGTTCAATTCTTAGGGAGAAGACTGCTACTTTTCAAATTGAAGCAACCAAGACTTCATCCCCACAGCTTCAGTGAAAACCTGAAGACCGGATGCTAGAGTTGTAAAAGGTGAGATTTGACAATGGTCGTTTGAAGCTTGAGAATGAGCTTTTGGGTTTAATGAGGGAAATGAAAGCTGTTACAACTGCATGATGTTTGTGTTGCCATTTTATGCCAGGTGCATGCTGCACAACTAAATTGTTCTTTTCTCAATGTTCTGTGGAATTTGTGCTTTCTTTAATCTTAAAGAGTAAATCTCAATCAGATCATCTTGAGATGCATTATACAGGTATCTATCATAATTTTTCGTATTGTCTGCCAATGATCATCAGTGGAACTGCCTCAAGATTTCTTTATTGTGGATTTTTTTTTCATAATCCTCGCGTTTTTTGCCTTTCCTTTCAGTATTTTATTAAAAAAAAATTACTGTCTTCAATTGCTGGTCACAGTGATGTATTTTATGTACTTCTATGCTAGAGTTTCTACTTTTAATTCAACAGATCCCTGAGAACTTTTGTTGTGGTAGACTACATCATTGGAAAAGGTATCGAAGCAACAATTCTGAGAGAGGTGCTTGGCGAAATATTGATAATGAAATCAACTACTATCTTTTTGTCTAAGCTTTTGAAGATATTTGTTTTGCTTTTTAGGGTTGGTGAAGTGTGATTAGTTTGTCTGGACTCTTGAGTTGCATATATTTACACACTTGTGCGGGCACAAATGTATGCAGTTAAGTGGATACTATGTCCATAATTTATTATATTTTGGATGATTGTGCAGATGATAAGCTTCAGAATAAACCACATTATATTGCTCTTTTTATACATTATTTAGAAGAAACATTCGATAAAACATTGTTGAACCTTTTTGGTTCCCTACTTTGCTTATTACGTGGCATGTGGGAATATTTTTTCCTTATAACTTCTCACTTTTAATTTAGTAAAAGATTAAGTAAGATGCTGACAACTGAAGGATAAGGAAGATAATTTAAAATGTTATATAAACTTTAAGACAATGTGGCCTGGGGTTGAGCAGACGGCTATTTAGGAAGGACTTTATTGCTTGAAAACCAGGCCTTATTTATCTCCAATTACACAAATACTTGTTGCAAATGAACTAATTGCTTATGCCACTTGTCTTGTTCTGTCCAAGGGTATTTTTAGCTGGTTTGCTTGATGACATTTTGTACTTTCCGAATTCTCCATATGCTGCTTATCTTTTTATTTCTTCCAAATTTCCTGTACATCTAAACATGACCTTTCGTTTGCTTTCTATATAGTTGGGCATTGCAATATTTGAGATGGTATATGGGGTTCACCATGTGGCTTTTGTTAAAATGAACTGTTAAACGGACTTGGTCTTGATGGACAAATGTAATGTCCAAGGGGCATAGGATGTTGGATTAGATTGGGTTGTTTTATACGAGCACTTGAAATTCTGAATCCCTCCAGTTCATAACATTATGTCATCCTTAAATGCTTCCAAGTGCATTATTTTCTGAAAGAACTTTTTCTTTATGAAACATGCTGTAGCAAAACCTGTACTGGATCAGTGTCCTGACTGAGTTATAAAATTTGCCACATTTTTTAGGGTTTTAATTTTTTTTTTTTATCTTGAAATTGATTGACATATGCAATGATGTTTCCATTCATGAGGATGTATTGCTAAAACTAAATTTTTAACAGAAAAGTAGTACCACTCAGTCCTGTTGGAGCTTGAAACCCAGTACAGAGATGGAATAAAGTCTATGAAGGAACAATCACTAAATGGTGCAGTTAATTTTCGAACTCCTGCAAGTTTGTCAACCTTCTCAAAACTCCTTGTTCAATTTGCCATATATCCCATTGACGCCTTTAATCACTCTATTTTGGAGGGGGATATCAGTTATAAACTTCATACTTTATCTAACATCTGTTTATAGGAAGGGTTCAAGGCTCATGCTTAATATGCACTCAGATCTACTAATGTTTGTAGAATAGGATATCTTTTCTTTATTAAAGGTTTACGTAACACACAAAAACGGTTCTAAAAAAGGAACTAAAAAGGTAAAAAAAGATGGGGGGGGGGATGAAAAATTTGATCAATTTTACTAGATTGTCTATGCTCCCAGTTAAAAAAGAAAATTTCTTTTTTTTCTTAAAAATAAAAAAAGGAATGAATCGAGAATCTACCCTTTACAGTCTAAGGCCCTTGAATTTTCCTTTTATTACATGAGTTATTTTTTTTCCCAAATTTGCCTGTATATTCTCAATAATTATCTGATGACGAATGTCAACCTCATTTACTATATTTTTTATTGACTTTCCCTCAGAAAGTTATTTTGTTTTTTTTATTTCTAAAAAATATTTCGGATACTTCTCTGCTATCTCTTTAATTGTGAATAATCTCATAGTAAATAGTTCACAAATGATAACTAAAGTTCATGTCACTACCAAAGGAAAAAGGAAAAAAAATAAAGTACAGAGTCCCGGATGAAACCAAGTTAAATCCACTTGGTTGTGTTACCATTGGCCATTTGTCACAAATAAAAATGTAGTTTTTTGCGGGCCTTACATTTATCAGGGCCTTGTGGTCCCATTTCAGAATTGTGCCAAGGGCTTCCTGGATCGATCACTCATCTTTGTTTCGCTTCCCATAGGATTTTTGAGGGTTCAGAAGATTTGGTTTGGATTTGAAATCTGGAAGTGATTTGTGGATCTGACACAATCTGAGGTAATCTTTTGATTTCTTTATTGCCTTAATCTGCATGGTATGTAGTTTATTAAAATTAATTTCCCCTTATCTTCTGTTGATCTTGACAATCTAAGCCTCGTAGTCTGGTACCATTTGATGGAATTGCACTAAATTAGTTCTTTTGTATAGTTTTTCTCTTAGTTTTTATGAATTTGATAGCATTATTTAACATAGAGTTGGTTTGATTACTATTCTCTGTTGAATGCCTGATATACATTTAAATGGGCTGTTGCTTCAGAGTTGGGCGAAGCATGGTTGGGTTAATTGTACTTTTGTGAGAGGATTTTTCTTGGCTCTGTTGTGTGTATAACTAACAATGGACGGACCATCAGCTTGGAATAATGCAATGCCAAACAGATCATGTGGTTTTTCAGACTTGCAAGGATCCATGCAAGTTGATCATCCACAAAATCCACATCCGTATCAGAATGCAACAGTCCCTCTGCAAAAAGTCAAGTTGTTATTCCTTTCAAGGTTGGGAACATGCAAGAATTTCATGAACCGTACTCGTTGTTTGATCGTAATAACAAGGGCAAGAGTGTGATGAATTTTGCTTGTAATGATGACCACATAAATGTTGTGGGAGAAGGCATTGATGGGCATGTGGAAGGTGGAGAGAAAAATGAGTACCCGTGGCACCGCATAAAATGGACAGATCAAATGGTGAAACTTTTGATTAATGCTGTTTCTTATATCGAAGAGGATGCTACCCTTGATTGCAATACTGGTGGAGGACCAAAGAAAGGGAAGTGGAAGGTTATTTCAAAGGTCATAATCGAAAGAGGTTATCATGTATCGCCTCAGCAATGTGAGGATAAGTTTAGTGATCTGAACAAAAAGTATAAGAAACTGAATGATATACTTGGGCGAGGCATCTCTTGCAAGATTGTTGAGAACCCTACACTTCTGGACTCCATGGATCAGTCTGATGATGCAAAGGGAGATGTTAGGAAGATCTTACGCTCCAAACAACTGTTTTATCAAGAAATGTGCTCCTATCACAATGGAAACCGTCTATTTCTTCCTCATGATAGGGATCTTCAACAGTCATTGCAGTTGGTTCTCAAAAGAAAAGGCACCCATAAGCGTCATGGGGTGCTTTTGGGGGCCTGCCTAAAGGGAAAGAAACAAGCTGACGAACATGAAGATGTGGATTTTGGCAAGGCAATGAAAATTTTGGACTACAACACAAGATCCGATTTTAGTCCACCAGTTGAGATTACCTCTGTGAGTTATGCCTCCAATGGGGATGAAATAAGAGAAAGTTCACCGAACCTGTGGTTAATGTCACGCTCACTTCAGTTTGAAGAGCAAAAGGTACAGATTCAGGCAAAGACGGTGGCGTTGGAGAAGCAGCGGTTCAACTGGCTGAGGATTAGCCAGCAAGAAGATAGGGAACTGGACAAGATGAGGCTGGAAAACGAATCAATGAAACTTGAGAATGAGCGGTTGGCATCAGAACTTAGATGCCGAGAGATGACTGCTAATTACCGGTGAATTGTGTGTTTTGGTGTGTCTTCATTCGTACACCAATTTTATGCTGTGCACCTTAGTTTTCTTTTCCGTTTGTTTTTTTTTTTTACTTTAAAGCAGACTGTTTTGATCATATTTGGGATTTGACTAAGTGGAGATGATGAGCTTGCTAGCACATGTCATGTATATTGACAATGAGCTATTATATATTGCATACTTGTGCTATCATTTGTTTTTGGGGTTATCTTTCTACCTATTACGTATGGACCGAGGCTTTCGTGCATGATACTTCTACCAGATAGATGCACTTCTGACTTTCTGAGTAACTATACTAGGTTGTTTAACCATTAGGACCCCTACCATGCTTTGCAGGCTATTTTTCCTTTGTATCTTGCTTTTGAGTGATTGGATTAGATATAAGACTGGGTCTGACGACTGAGAATTGGGAAGATACCTTGAAAGAGTACAATGTTGATTAGTTTAAATGGTATAGACAATTGGTGCTGGAAGTAGCAGGCCAAGAAACAATTCTATTGTCACTCACCATGCTCTAGGGTAAAATGTAGTTTTTTCTTCTACTGGTTTGTTAGATGAATTATGTCTGTTTTCACTAAATTTACTTTCCCCTGCACAATCATTCTTTCTTTTGTTCCTTACATGCTGAAACTTGTTTTAACTCCGCCTGTGTCGTGTTTTAGTACACATTTTTGTAACACACCCGGTCCATGTTTACTACACCTTTTTTCTTAGAGAAGTCAAGCTTCTTCCTTAGGACTTCCCCAGCCTGCTTGTTGCTGTGTGGCCCGGGGGAGAGGTCGTTGTAGTTTCTGATTTTCTATCAATCTTGACATATTATTGTGTTTGGTTCTATCACAGTACTTCTGCAGAATCTATCTCTTAAACTCCGAGCAAGCTTCAATAGCTTGCTTGCTCGGAGGATAATTCTCTGTGTTAGGTTTGCCACAATAGTTTCTGCCCATCCGTGTTTATAGCTTCTGCTAACCTCCATACCTACAAAGATTTTATATTAGTTTATTATTATTATTTGGGCACCCCTATCTTCCAGTGGATGCGACCCTTGAGGAAGGTTGAATTTTGGAGCCGCTAATAGATGTTAGTACTTCCATGTATGGAGGCACACAGTAATTACTCTCAAAATTACAGGTTAACTCTTTCTATTTTATATTGTTTATTTATTCTGTTAATTAGAGTTCATACTAATTTACATTAATATTATTTTATATCTTAATTCGTTACTAAAATTATTAGATTATTGTGTTTATTTCCCCCCAACAATCTATGAAAGTAAGAGATTAAGGGAGTCATTGGTTCTGGGTGAATATTATTGTGCTGAAACGATTTGTGTTTGGTGCTTCTTTGATAGTATTGATGTTCCATTCATCATACATTATTTTATAATTTTAAAAAAAAAATTATGACTGCAGATTAATTTTAGTATGGTACCCATTTTTTTTTGGGTACCATTATTCGTACTCCAAAAAAATCCATTTTCATTCCATTAAATCTCATGATACAAAACTACTAAATTCACTCGAATTTTATACTTATCTCTTCAAAAACTAAGTCCACCCAATTGTTATTTAAACACATCTCAATCCACATCCATCTAATTATTTACTAAACACGTATCATTATTGATGGGACACTTCTGAGAAGGGATTGAATCCTGACATGTGTCCTCGGCGCCAAGGGCACCTCCCTTTCGCTTTGAGGAAGACAAGTGTCTTCGGCTCCGAGGGCACCTTCTTGTTTAAATGCAGCCACGTGTCCTCGACACTGAGGGCATCTCCTTTGCTCTGATGCAATCCTCGGCTTCGAAGACACTAATTGAATTATGGTATTGCCACGCATCCTTAGCTTTTGGAGGGGGTGCTAGCTGACATAGCCAATCAGTCTGAGAGCTAGACTAGGGATCATTGTGTTACTTTCCCAACGAGGTCAGAATGATAGAACGAACAAGACCAGTAGGCATATAGAGTGAGGCACGTGGCATAATGTGCCGAAGTGGGGGTAAAGAGAGAAAATTATACTTCTGACATGCGGTCATCTTAGATAAGCATTAATAATCCCTTAGAAGGATGAGACGTCCACAATGGCTTGGGAAGCCGAGAATAAGGAGTATTAAATGCTCCAGGACCCGAGCATTTAATGCCTTAACATTAAAGAAAGAACATTTAATGCTTGAGAGCCCGAGCAATTAATAATGGGGACTCCCCCATGCAAAAAAGGGGAGTGTGCTGCCCAATAAACTGTGCTACACCTACTACCTCACCTATCAACAATGATGAGCTCTTGAAAGTATAAATAGTGGCAAAAAAAACTCAAAATAGAGGTATGCAAATTCACTTCTCAAGAACACCAAATAATGTTTTTTTTTTCCACTTTCTCAAAGAATTGACTTAATTGTCTGAAGGGATACGCCGAAAAACACTCTGACACCCTTTAAACTCGTTTTTTGTGTGTGCAAGAAACTGCCAACCACTCACCAAAATCGATCGGACAGCCCCTAAAACAATTCATGACCACTCCTTAGGCCTTTTTTGCCACCTTGGCCCTGCCTTAGCCACGAGATCGTCGATTCTCGAGGCAAACATGAGCTCACCAAGGAAGACATCTGTTTCTATTTCTTTATTGTGCGAAAATCACTGCACACAATTATATATCTAACTCATTAGTGACTTATTTCACCCTAATCTATAGCACTCGGTTAATAGTTAGACCAGCCATGTTTCATACTAAACTCATTTGCTTGTGACTTCCATGCTCAAGGTACTATCGTAGATAGTCTAGTATCGCGGTCAATTACCGAGTCCCAATATAAACTTCAAAATTTAAATCTCCAACTTTAGAGTGAGCAGTTTGATTGGTACCCCATTGGACCAACCCACTCGGTCGCGAACACTATAATCATTAACAGAAGCCTATCAATACCAGAACCTTCTCATCCTTAATGAGAACAAAATTAAAAGGAAAAAGATAAAGAAAACCCCCCAAAAATGTAATTGTCAAAATGGTAGACCTTTAAATCGATTATGGGTTTCACACCACTATTGAAACAAAAAGATTTTTACCTTGTATCTATTTATTTGAAGGTCTACGCTTTTCAACTACGCCATATAGTTTCTGCCTTTTTTTTAAGTAAAAATAAAATTTATATGTTGAAAAAGGCTACCCGTCACTGTTTATGTTGGATTTTATGTCTAATAATATTGGACTCTATCTCTAATTAGAGACTTAAGATGGCTCACATGCCATGTCATTTTTTAATAAATAAATATTATGTATATTTTGTATATATCCTATTTACTGAATCAAATACTTATGGGTAACTGACGTTAAAGTAACTACTCACTACTCCCATCATCAGATGGAGTAACCATCATGGAGCAGTTTAAAGTAGTTGTAACTTCTTGATGGAAAGACGTTAATTACAGTTTTTCTATTGGAAAAGGGTCCCTACCTATATATATAATTTCATGCCTGTGATTTTTCATCAAGTCATATGGAATTCAGATATCATATATATAAACAATAAACTCTTCTCTCATATACCTCCATACTATATATATTTGTGAGGTTGATTTTGGGTGTTCTTCTTGAGCGTTAAGATCAAGACGATGATACGGATTCGTACTTGTTGGGGTCGTTGGGTTCGTTGATTATTTTTTTTTATAGAGAATTCGAATATCTTGTACTCAAACTTAAACATCAATGACAGGAGGTAAATATTCAATTCTGCTATGTTAAAATAGGAAAATTAAATTCTTCAATAAAATCTATCAATTGGTATCAGAGCCATCATTCTGTCCATTTTGTTTAGTTATTATGATTATGAGAAATCATATTTTGTCTACAATCCTTCTACCATATGTTTGATGTTTGTTCCGATATTTTTTGTCTGGAGTTTGTATTTTGTTTTTTGTGAAACTCTCCTCTGAAAGATGTCTTCTTGAAACATTAAGTCCAAGAAACATTAAAATAATCAAAGGAGAATATAGAGACTTGGATGTTGGGACGTGTGTTTTTTTTGAAACATTAAGTCCACACACAGAAAACTTTCGATCAAAATTTTTTTGACAGAGGAGGCGTAACCTCCATTAAAGACATTCTGTTCTGTCAAACAATCAAGTTTCACAAAAAGCCAATTACATGAATTTTAAAATTCATTTAGCGTGCACATGGTTGATTACAGAAAATATGTCATATGATTAATTAAAGTTTTGCTTGATGAAAGAATTTTTGTGCACAAAGAAAATTTTGTTGATTATAGAAAAATTTTCGAACAAAAAAAATAAAAATCAATAACGTACATGTGATCAGGAACAGTGACATTACCTTCATGCTACTATTATGTTTATTGTTATGATTACTGTTATGTCTAAGGATTGTTTATTGTTATGTTCTCATGGCTCATGCACATGGTTTTGCTTCAGATAATTTTTAATAATATTAGCATGTTTTTGGATCAAGTTTGGTTACAGTATATACATGCTAGACAGAAGCATTTTTAAGGAATTATTTGGCATGAAGAATTTATTTATGTCATGAACTATGTCACATGGAGATATCATATTAACTTAAGAATAGCTACAACATCTTGAGTTATATTAGTGAATGATCAACAATTAGTTTGATCATATTAAGTATATGTTTAATATCTTCATATTGCGATTAAGTTGTTATAGATAATTACTCGGCCCCACAGGGAAGTATTTATTTTATACTGCTTAATTGGAATAAGATATTGAATGGGGTATTAAGGGCTTTGGATACTTTATCCCCACAGGTTTGGGATCCTTTGTTCCTTAGTATTTTAATTCATTAGTCTTATTATAAAGAATAATAAGCAAATCTTATACAGTTTATGACCTCTACCCACAGGAAGGTTTAGATTTGCTTTATTGAATTTTACAGTTATTGTTTCTAAGTGCTTATTATATTCTTGGTTATTGCAGTTGTTGCTACCTCTTTATTTAATGAGTCTTCTAACATTCCATTACTGAGTGGTGGAAATTTTTCGAATTGGAAGGACAAAATTCTCTTGACATTAGGGTGTATGGACTTGGATTTGGCACTTCGCGTTGAAGAACCTCCAGTACCTACTGAGTTAAGTTCATTGACTGAAAAGAGTGCCTATGAGCGGTGGGAGCGATCTAATCGCTTAAGTCTGATGCTCATCAAGTCACATGTGAGCAAGAGCA